CTGAATAACAGGCAAAGAGAAATGTCCTCTGTTAACGAGCATCTGTAATTGTGTGTGATACATATGAATGGGAAGGACCTTACACTGGCTGGGAGATTAGTCAGGTAAGCCTTTTAGGAAGAACTTCCATCTAATTTATTTAGATCCCTGGGATGAGGAGACCCTGAGCTCTGGCTTTACAGATGTAAGTCTCGGGAAATTAAGGCACAGTAGTAGTAGTTAAAAGTTTGTTTGAACTCTGACCTTTCCCTTTAAGTAAGCAATTTAGTAGGTCTTTTTCTAAAGAACTCCACAGAAGCAAGACATTATTCTTCGTCTCTTCTGGTAATGACTTACTCATCATCCATTGCTACTGACAGCTGCTGAAACCAAGCTTCACAGTTGGAGGCTGCTTTCCTTTTGTTGTGTGAAAATATGAAACAGCTACTACTTTATGACTGAGGTGAGCTGCGTTGTTAAGAACTTGACAGATTTTGATGTTTAAATGCTGCTCCTGTCAGTGTGAGCATAAACTCTGTAGTTTAAAAAGCCAACAGTGGACGAAAGGGTTACTGTTTATTATTAACTGTTATATATGTCCATCTGATTCGTGTTAATATTGAACAGTGTTAGGGCCGCATGATGACATACCCTTGTATAACCACAAGCCTAAGAAGGGCAGAGAGGTTAAAGTATGTAGTTCTTACCTTGCACCCCCCCAGCCGCCTCCTCACAGGGGGAAGGGGAGGGGGGCTGGCTGGGCACCAGGGCGGCATCCGCCGCAGCCCCCCCACCACCAGGGATTGACTTACGCATCATCCATTGCTACTGACAGCTGCTGAAACCAAGCTTCACAGTTGGAGGCTGCTTTCCTTTTGTTGTGTGAAAATATGAAACAGCTACTACTTTATGACTGAGGGGAGCTGCGTTGTTAAGAACTTGACAGATTTTGATGTTTAAATGCTGCTCCTGTCAGTGTGAGCATAAACTCTGTAGTTTAAAAAGCCAACAGTGGACGAAAGGATTACTGTTTATTATTAACCCTAGCAGCTCTCTGATAGCTATACCCGACACAAAACAGCAAGCAATCAGTATTCAGTAGCTTTCCCAGCTCTTCTTGGAAATCCAAGGTCCGCAAAACTTCTAAATGCGCTCATGTTAACCCCACTCTATGGAAGTAGTAGTGGTACCAGAAGCTACAAGGCTCTGTGGGGGGAAAAAAATTAAATCTCTCAAGTATTTTAAAGGAGTAACAATACTGACTAGTATTTTAGCATCTCCAGAAATGTTCTTCTTTTGTCTCTATTTGCAGGATGATTCTCAGTGCTGTATTTAAAAATTAAATAACTATTCAGTAGAAGATTGTCAAATATTCTCTTTTTGACAGCAACAGAGTAACTTGCTTGCTTTTAGTTCTTTCCCATTCTAAGTCACTGTGCTGTGCAAGATCTGTCCTAGCTAAGAAGAAATAAATGTGATCCAGCTCCCAAAGGCCAAAAGGGACCTTGATTAAGGTATTCCTAAGACTATACTGGAGAGAGTTGTGGGCTTTTTTCTCTCTTCCTTTAAACTTCTCTGGTTTGTAATAGAATATAAGCAATGCTAATTGTCAATATGGTGACATGCCAGCTTGGTAGACAACACCACTTGAACAAAGTAGGCCTTAAGGTTATGGTAATTTCACTACAGTTATCACGAAATAAAAGATTCGGTTTTCAGTATGCATCTGAGGAGCCTTCTACAAAAAACCTGAGGGGTTTTGCTTGTCTATTTTGAGGTTAAGGGGTCTTCTAAACTTTCTTTTAAGTAGTTAAACCAAAAAGCTTTTAGAAATATTTCTTGTATTGCACTTATTTCTCCATATGTGTTTGAAGGGTGCCTCCCTACTTAAAGGGCATGCGCTTTGATGCTCCGAAGCTAAATAGGAAAAGCCAGATCTAGACTTGAAATAACTGGAGTTTTATTCTGGAGAGAGCTGGGCCTTGTTGAATGGGAAGTTACTGTGAGCACCATGTGTTGAGAGCCTTCTGGGTGGGCGAGTACTGTTATGGATGGAAGTTGTGTATGCTTTGAGCAAACCAGCTGCTATATAAAATCATACATATGGCAACAGATGCATAGTAATAAGTAAAGTTGATCATTGTTGACAACCAGAACGTATTTGTAGATGTGAGTTGGCCAGACAAATTCAGCTAGGGTTAGGGGAGTCATCCCAGAAAGCCCAGCTACATTATAAGAGGGATTTCCTCATTTATTCGTTTTTGAGGGGAAAAAAGTTGGGTTGGGTTTGGGGTTTTTTGGAGGGATATATGTAAACAGATTTTTACATCTGGGCTTTTCAGGATGAGAAATATAACATAGATCAGGAATTGGCTCCCTTATAGTACATGTAAAATGTCTGGATGTGCTTTTTTCTTTTGTCTTCAAACATCCTTTACCACGAAACTGTAACCAGGATTTAGAATTGGCGGTGTGCTGTTGGATGTCTGTGTAGACTATATACAGCAAAGTAAACAGCCGTTGGATGTGGGAGCCAATAGATGTCAGTGGGGTCTGTCTTTAGTTCTTGAAAAGTCTGAAAAAAACCCCATAGTTATAAAAGCTAGAGAAGCTTTAGAATTAGTAATAATAATAGGAAATGGGGCTTCTGGAATGTAGTTTATTGGGTAAGCTGTCAGAAGTTTCCTTTTAGGACATAACTGGCAGATTGAGTACCATCTCTTTGTAAACACTTCTGCAACTGGATCTGGAGCTATAGACTCTTAGTTTCTAAAAACAGGGCAGGGGCAGAGATCAATGAAGCTGAGGGTCACTTGTGTTTTCATATTGCTGTTCTTCAGTGAAAACCAGGAGTGACGCTGTCCTGAATGTACTTTGCAACATAGGGATTCCTCTTTCTGTGTCTGTACCATCCCACAGAAAAGATTTCTGCCCTACTCCTAATGTCTTCAGTAATTAAGAAACAGGTATTCATGACCAGATTTATATGGCCTGCTTTGTTAAATCCATCATTAGGCAGATCAGCTAAGCTTAACAAAGGGGAAGGCAAACCCTTAAAGGAACAGAACGCAGACTATTGAGGGGAAAAAAAACACAATTGCAGCTCAAAACCCCGTTCCCAGTGGATGTGTGGTAGAAAGGTTCAGTGTTACATTCATAAAAGACGAACAATAGTTGTTCCCAATAGAAAAATTATTATGCAGTATAATCTAATGCTGAAATGGAGATGTTGCATTAGGTATTGGGGGAAGACCAATCTATATGTCAGTTTGTCTTTGAAAGAAGAAATTGTAATTATAAAAGCAATCTTTGGATTAGAATTTCAATAAGATGTATCACTGAGTATCCTGTAGAGGTAACTTGGTACAAAGTGCTAATACTCAGTAATAAAATGTTTGAATCATAATCTCGTAGCTTTTTTTCTCCCTTAATTTCCACTGCCTTTTGAAAGCGGTTTTATGATTTCACAGGAGAGAGGAAGCATGTTCTAAAAATAAGTATTAAGAAGTGCAGTAAAAGTGACAGTAATGCCTTCTGCTGTTATAAGCAGATGAAGATAATACTTTTCCTGCTTGTACCTTTGATGTTTTCTGTCCAACAAACAATCTAGAGGAAAATGGCTGCCCTTTTGCTCTCCTACTCCAGGCAATAAACTACTGTATATTTAACAGAATTTGGTAAGGCATTCACTGTGCATGCAGTGTCATGCTGAGGTGCTCAGGTATCTGATGTTACAGGGTTTTTTAACTTGCACTCTGAATCATGTCTTGAGTGGCCAGCTTAAATATTTAACTCTCTAAGAGTAATCTTCCAATACTGGTAACTGTGACAGTATCTTCAAACTTGTATCAAATGTGATTTGAAGTTAGATCAACTAGGATGTAATGAAGATCCTGAATTACTTCAGATCTTTCATATATAGATTCCTGATGCTATGGGGTATGAATGTACCATACCGTGTTCCCTGGGGAATTTCCATACTTGTTTGCAAAGGAGGGTTCTGAGAATTCTCTGAAGCAATCTTGTACTGTGTTGTTTCCTACTAGCAATAGATTGGAGACCTTCATCCATTTCTAGTCTAAGGAAACATCAGAGGTCAGTGATAGGTTTTCGCAGAAGTTTAAAGGAGGGAAGGTATTCAGAAGAAAACTTTAGAAGGCCTGTTTTTTTGTATGTGAAAAGGTCAGTGCCCCAGAGGTACATATTAATTGTGTAAGTGTTGGCTTAAAAATTCCTATTTTAAAATTTAAAGAAAAAAAATTAACAAAGGTAGTATATGCTGCTTTTATAATGAAAGATAATATAGGAGGGGGTCTTAGATTATATATAGAGAATCAAAGAAGTTACCTCTAAAAGTAGCAACCAATTGTAAATTGCCTGAGAGAGATGATGATACCAGTAAGGTAAGATGTATAGTTTTTAATTTGGTTTTGGGTTTTTTGTTTTAATTTGCTATGAGGAAATAGAGGAAGATACGAAATCTTAGTGGAACAAATCCTTCAAAGACATTAAATTTGAATAGCAATAGAAACAGGGATCCCTTTTTTTGCAAAAATCATGTCCTTGCTCAATGAAAATTCAGTAGAAACTCCAGAATCTTTCGATTTTAATATTGTGTCAATAACAAGGGAAATTAAATGTAATAAGTTCTTGAATATGATTATTTTCTAAGCTATCTTTACATAAAACAAGCTTTAAAAGTCTTTAGAAAAAAATCATAACTTTCCATGATAGTGCACTTAAAAAGCTGGGGAACAGAATGACAGTTCCCTGAATGAAGTAAAATGTCCTATTGCAGTCAAGATGTGTCTGTCTGGCAGGCAACTGAATTCACATCTAGGACTCATGTATTTAATTCATGCTTGAAACATGTTGTGCACTTCAAATATGAACGGCTGCCCCCCTTAATTTAAATTCTGCTTTCTTATCAATCTAAAATGCCGGACAGTATTCTGATATGAGTGTACTCTTTTTTTTTTTTTTTTTCTCTAGTTCAGCATCTGTCTTTGTGAAACCTACTTGGCGTGAATGCAGTACTCAAAGTGGGTGGAATCTCCTTGAATAAAGGAAAAGATGGAGGTGCCAACAGTCTGCAGTCAAGATAATGGTACTCATAACTCTTCCATCTCTCTTTTTAAAGAGGAAAAAAAACTGACAAAAAGTTTTATTCCTTGGTCCCTGTAACTCTTCTTCCATTGAGTCAAGAGAGAGGTGAATGTGTCTAGAAATGTTACTACTTAATAATTGGAATTAATCTTATTGTTAATGGTGGTATGCAGTTAATTTAGAGAGTGTCAGAGAGAATACGTGGCGTTTGTTTCTGTCTTATAAAGTCAAGGGTCTCTGCAGTTGTATTAAGAATTACTAATAATTTCATGGGACTTTTTTTGCTTAAGGAAGTGATTCTCTGAAGGTTTGTGCTTCTGTATGGAACATCTTGGTCTATCTGAGCCCAATTTAATGTAGGGGTTGCATTCTAGGAGATGGTTAGTACAAGTCCTCTCAAAAAGAGGCACCCAGTAATGAGGAAAAGTTCTTCAAAAGTGTCTCCACCAAAGGTAATGTTCTACTAGGCACTGGAAGTCCTTGCAGAAGAGAATCCTTTTAAGTTAACTGTGTTTTGGGAGATATTTCCTTGTGGGGCTCACAATCAGGGTTCACTGAGTTTATGATTTTTTTTTAAGTGTCTGCTTTCCTAAACCAGATGATTATTTTGATAATTAGGTACATTTTCATGCTTTCCCAGTTTGGATACTCTAATTCTGCCTTATGCTTGAAGCAAAGGTCCCATCTGCAGAAACTTAGCAGGCAAGTGCCTGTATAAATTCATGCATAAGGAAAATTCCTCAGTGAGACTGAAGTTGAAGATAGATCTCACTAAAGTCTTGCTAACATCAAGGTCTAGAGCTGATACAGGAAACAATTAACTCAATGGCTATAAACACTGTGCTCAGGAGAGAAGTAAAGAAGGGCTTCCATGTTCAGGTTGGCTGTGGTGACTGGATGGTAGCAGCTGATGATACTGTCTGCACTAGCTATTGTGGGTCTGCTGGATGAGCTTTAGCTTTAAGAAATTATTACTTTGACTTTGGCTGATGTAACATTAGAAGCTCTTAGTGTCTTGGGTTTATTTCAACACTTTTTTTCTTATATTACAATATTACTCATTGAAACACGACAAGTTTAATGTTGTAAACAAATACAAAGGAAAGTCTCCAGTTACAATTGTATTGTATGATTCCTTTGGCCCTAAAAAGCAAAGAGACAGCTTGTGCTTACCAAAATAAACAAGAGTTGAGAACTTGCCGTCCTTTGACATTCAGTGGGAGTCAGGCATGCAACTCTTATGGTGTCTTTAAGAACCCTTATAGCTTAATAAGTCTAACTCCTACCATTTGGTACGGTATTGTATTAGTGCTGTTATAAATACTGTGTTTCCTGGGAAGTGTGTCACATAGCAGAAATGATCTGTTGTCATTTCTGAGGTAAAATTAAATTCCACGCACTCACAAAAATCCAGCTGGTGTCTAGGCCTCACTTTCTATGATTTGTGTAACATCTTACCTATTTGTCATCTCTTAGTTTCTACCCACTTGACATTTTAGAAAGATACTGGATTTTTCACTTTTCCACTGTATTAGAATACTGTTCCTAATAGATTGAATGCTGCTTCTAATATAAGAACAGTTCTTCCCCTTTCCTGGGACGTGCTGTGGGTGTCTGTGACAACGGTATGTATTTGGCAGGAATTTGCATTTTCATTAGTGATATTCTCCAAAATGTCTGCACTTCTCAAGAGTGGAGAAAAACAGATGGTCCCTGGCCCAAACAGTGGGTTATCCAAAACAAAAGCCTATAAAATGAACAAGGCAATTTTTTATGTTTACCTCTTCTCAGTAGGAGGTACGAGCTTGAACCCAGGTTGGTATGTGTGAGATTCCCTTTGTGGTTTTCTCATGGGTCCATTGAAAATTGCTAGTAGTGACCTAACCCTGCTGGTTAATACTAAAATAAAATAACGCTCTTAATGCAACAGAGTTGATTGCACGAAACAAGTGAAGCAGACAGGAAATGGGTGCATTTCTTCAAAGTATGAACTGAGGAAAGGTGCTTTTCAAAGGCCTGGGTCACTGTTTAGCTTTGGTTGGTCTTCTATTTGAAATGAAATGTCTTGCGCTTTTCTGTTTCTTGGGCTCAGGTGTATCTCATGTTCTGACTCTAGTGCTACAAGAACTGAGTTTGCTCTGTAAAAGAGATGTCAATGGTGTTGGCATGTTATATGACCTGCTCAGATCCCGCTGGCTGCAAGCACTTTTAAAGGTAAAGTAATACTCAGCTGTGAAGGCAAAAGTTTCCTAGAGAACAGTCCCTAGGGGATAGCTATTTTATTTTGCCGTATCAGGACAATGAATGCTTATTTAGACTAAATGCTGATAGTCTTAATGTCAGTCCTAACATCAGCAGTCAAGGTGAACAAAACCACTTTTGCTGTAAAGAAAAAAAATTATTCTCTTTCATAACATCCTAGACATTAAAGCTCCTCTACTTTACACATCTGTATTAAGGCCAGGGAGATGGAGACATAAGCTGAACACAGCACTGCTCGGCTGTCTTTTCTTAAATCTCTCTATGGCTACATATCCTACTTTTTGGCATGGATGCTTGTAAAATTACATTTTTTTTGTTTTGCCTATGCTTTATCTGATGTGTAGTTGAAGATTTGATGTTGTTATAGAACAGAGTTTTGGCTGGTGTGTCTCTCAACTAGAACTGTATCTAAGACAAATAGACGTGGAGATTGCAAGCTCTTTGGCTCTAGATTGACTGAGAAATTCCTAGAAATATGTTCTCTGTGTGTTGTGTATGTATCTATATAATCATGTGAACAGACCATATAATCATTGCATTGTCTTCTCTATCACGGCATGCAATAGATTTATGAATGCCTCCAACACTACCTCGGAAAAAGACCAGTTCCTGTCACACTGCAGGCACGCGCATTGACTCGCGAGGTAAGACTGTGTGTGCATAGTGTATTGCTTTACTTACTCATACCAAATTAGTCAACATAGCTGCAGGTAACAGTGTTCCGGTGTTTGTTTTGTGCCTCAGGTCTCAGTGTGCTATATAAACTTGAAAGATTCTCTTCTCACACATTTGTGTCACTACCTGATAACTCTGACTGTGTTAAGAGTGGGGGGGATGAGAAATGTGTACAGCTGTGATCATTGGACTGCATGAGCCCTGGCCGATGTAATGAACACACAAATTATTTGTTTTAACTACTGGTCATATGTTTTTCTACCCATGTAACTGTGTGGTCAGTGTTATGGCTGCAATCAAGCAGTTTGACTTGAGGATTTTGAAAAAGCTTTTTGGATTTTTCTAATCATAATAGCTGGTTAATTCTTAAACTGAATTAGACAGAGAGTTAATGACTAAGTGGAGAAACTAACATTAGTGATTAAATCAGTTGAGGCAGAGGAGAAAAAACTAATTTAGAGCACATGGCACTGTGCCTGAACTAAATTGAACCTGGCTGAGTGTTGTGCAGCTGTGGTCATATTGTCCAATCCTAGAGCAAGCCATATGGATATGTTCTGAGTCGTTTAACGTGGGAGGCTGAACACTCTTACCTTACCATATTCCTCTAAGTTCAGTTTCTAAATTAATTGTTCACCAGAATCAGTCTCTCTGCTTTCTCTTAAATTTATCAGGTGGTAGAGTTACTGCGTGAAGCCCCTCAGTCTGGAGAGATCAAAGAGCTAAGACGACTACTGCGAGCCCCACACTTAAAGGCAAGTCCTGCTTAAAGGAAAGAAAAAGGTTGCTCAGAGAGCTGTCTGCAGTGGGAGCGGAAGCAGATGGCAAAAGAGCTGGAAGAGACACTGTTTCCTAGTCGTGAACTAACAGAGTTGTGAAATCAGACGTGGACTATGTATCTGAAGTGCCTGCAGTTGGCTGCATTTCATTTAAGGGCTATGTTTGAAAGATGTTTCTTAAAAAGTTAAATTCTGAGTAGTTGATGCAGACACATAAAACCAAATTTTCCTTGTAATAGAAAAATCTGCATTTTTTTAGCATAGAGTTCCCAGTAGGAATGTTTCATCTTCTGTAAGTTTTCCAGAAGAAGCAGAGAGGGGAAAGGTAAAAAAGAAAAAACACCCACCACTTCACATTTTGAATTTCCAAGTGGAAAGAAGAAAATATCAGTGTAAAAGGGATCTGTGTTCACAAAGGAACTTATTTTCTGATGCCTGTTCTCTGCTTATGGGTTGGTTGGTTTGCTTGTTTTTGTTTGTACCAGGCCCTGCTATCTGCCCATGACACTGTGGCCCAGAAAGACTTTGAACCAACCCTTCCACCACTGCCAGACAACATACCTGAAAATGAGGAAGCTATGAGGATTGTCTGCTTAGTGAAAAACAACCAGCCTCTGGTGAGGGAGCTTTCTGATGTCTGTCAAATTATTTTAACTTACATGAGTATCGATATTGCATATTGGTTTCTTTCCAGGAATGTCACAGAGATTGTGTGCACTCTTGTCCAGTTTTCACAGAATCACAAGAATTGTTGAGGTTGGAAAGGGCCTCAGGAGAGCATCTAGCCCTGCTCAGTGTGGGTACAACTACAGCACGTTGTTCCAGTGCCTTGTCCACTCAGGGCTTGAACATTTGGCACATGTTTTTATCTCATATAACGAAAATGCAAATAGGATTGAGAGCTATTCCTTTGGCCAGAGTAGTAAAGAAGGGAGGAGAGACTCTGAAAGGTTCTTTGGAAATTATTTGTACTTATAAGCGGGAAACATTGTATAGCTTAACTAATCTATTTTAGGAAAAATAGTGATGATATCTGATATAGAAAAGATTTCTTACAGTTAGTCAATGAGGTCATTTTAGTATGATGGAAGTTGAAGACACTGAAGGATTTAGTATTAATAATGTTATCGCTAGATCCATGTGGTGTTACAAAGGCTGTATCTTTTAATGCCTTTTTGTCATTGTGAAGATCAGACTTGTGATGAGAAAGGAAACTTACAGGGGTTCTTCGGTGATCAGTGTGGTTTTTTTCTTTGTTTTTATTTGCCAGGGTGCCACCATTAAACGCCATGAGATAACAGGTGACATAACGGTTGCCCGTGTGATCCATGGTGGGCTAGCAGACAGAAGTGGTATGTGCAATTTGAAACAAAGTAATACAAAAACCTGAACTTGAAATAAGATATTTGAAGTAAGATAATAGCTTAGCTTCTACAATTAGTCTTCCGTTATAGAGTGAGAAGGTGTGTACATTGGACAGCACTGTAAATAGTCGTATGTTGCAGTGACTTTGATTCTGGTTTCATTGACTTTCATATGAGCGTGCAATGTTTGAGCCTGAGTCGAGGTACGAATCCAGTTTTCGTTACGTGTTTTTGGCGCCAGTACCTGGATAAATCTGTCATGAGATTGATTACGAATATCCCAAACTGCAGTGTAGTATGAATACCAGCTGCTCACTCCCTAATGGAGAAATGGAAAATATCAGCAGCCTCTGATTCTAGAAAATAATGGGCTTTAAGAAATATGTAGTAACACTTCTTGGCACTAGTCTACTGAACACTTTGGTAGCATTAGTTGCTAAGCAATCTTCCAAGGAGTTTCCTTGGCAATGTTACTACTTTGTCATCCTAGAATTGAACATGTTCCTTGGGAAATCTAACAGAACTAAAATGTAAAACATCAGAAGTAAAGTTGAACTGTAATAATTATAAAATAGTTCCTTTTAGTATTTTCTGGCCTTTGTATAGAGAAGAAAACCCAAACTGTAGACAATAGCTGATTAAGTTTCTAGTTTAATTGAGCTGAAGGAAAAAGTAAAAGTAAACAATATTGTGAAGACTTTGTAAAGGACAGAGGAACCCCAAGGCCTTCCACTGTGCCTGGAATTTTTAAGGGTCTGATTCTAAGTTTCATGGTCTACTAATATAATGGGTTTAGCTAGAATAGATTCAGATATTACTTTGGGAAATGGAGCTATATTAAAATCTTTCTGCTACTTTTAAGGCAAATCATCAATAGATTGTAAACATGTTGTATGGCGAAGGTGGGAGGAAATAAGAATACTGCAGCATGCAAGCTTCTTGTGACCCACAGAAGTCTGCAGCCCTATCTAGGGGCAATATAGCGTACATCCAAAATGTCCTCCTGCACCCCTGGTATATGGAAACTTTTAATGCTGGCTTCCAAACCTGCGGGATATCTGCGAGTCCCTGCCCTGCCTACTCAAGATAATCCATGTTGCAATAAAACTTCTGTTGCTGCTTTCATCCTTGTTTTTCACTGTAGGGTTGCTGTATGCTGGAGACAAACTGGTGGAGGTAAATGGAGTTCCTGTTGAGGGACTTGAGCCTGAGCAAGTTATTAATATTCTGGTATTAAATCTTTTTTTTCTACTTTGTACCTTAAGAGTAACTGTATGCTACTTCTCTTACATGTACACACACTCCTAGAGGAGAAGGTCTGAAATTTTTAACAGAAAATTCAGATTGTTTCATTATTCATAACTGCTCATGAAATCAGAATGTATGAAACCAGAATTATATCTAACCCCTCTTCCAGGCAGAAGGTAACTTAATTGCGGCTATTCTACCTGCAGCTTCTGGGAAAAATACTAATTTATTCAGACTTCACTGATTCATCATTTTTCTGGAAGTTCCACTCAGTTAATATTCCTCAAGAAAGTATTGGGAAGGTGCTGTTCTAATAAGAGTCCATGTTACAAAATGCACTAAAGCAGAGTGAATGAGCTTGTAAGCTACACACCTCACCTTGCAAAAAAGGGCAGTGGTAATTACTGTTGTCAAAACTCTCATGAAGAAATCTGTTGAACTGACCCTCTTACTTACTCATCGTTTTGCCTACAATCTTTCAAGGTTCTTCACTGCAAAGTGTTAGTGCCAGTCAGTAAGGATTGCTGTGCGTAGTCAGGATCAAGTCTTTCTATGCGTTATTTCCGTGGTTGTACTATTTCTAGGTATAAGAAATACAAACTCTACTGGGATGCTTAATTCTTAAACTTTTTTTTCCCTCCCCCCTTTACATCACTTGTCTAACCAGACCCTGCTGCTAATTTAAGTCGGATTTCAGTAGAAAAGTTTGGTATCAATTAAAGTTGAAATTGTATATATTTATAATGAAACATAGATTTCATTGAATTAAAAATATTTAGCAAGACTTTGAAGTTTCATTCTTGACTTTCCTTTTGAAAAAAAATACAGTATTCCCATATTGACTCTGTCTGCCTAAATTCTATTTGTAATATAGACATTATAGTAACCTCAAAGCCATGCTGTGTAAAGTTTGTGCTGCCAATGTTTGGTTATTTGTGTTGAACACCAGTCATATTTTAATCCCTTTTTTAATCATTTAGGCCCTGTCTCAGGGGACAATTATGTTCAAATTAATTCCAGTTTCTGATCGGCCTGTCAGCAACCAAACAACAGTAAGAGACATTCTTTTTTCCGGCTTGTTACCGCAAACAGTTGCTCCAATAATGTCTAATGGTGTGATACAAAGAAATGGTTTTGCTTAGAAGTTTATTGCAGTCCTTAAAGCGTGACTTGCTTTTATGTCTAACTCTCAGCTCCCAGCACTATGCTGTTGCTGGAGCAGTAAAGATAGTAAACTGAAATATGGTTGTATTAAAGTTAAAGACATTTTCAGCTTGATCTACAGGTTGAAGATCCATTCTTTTCATAATGTGTAAGGTGATTTTTTTTTCTCCCTTTATGAACAGGGTTTGTGGCTTGATCTTGTTTTTAAAACTTGACTTAATCATTAATTGACTAAAGCAGCGGCAATATCTGGCTCTGAGATTATAAAGCTCGTTTTATCTGTTCTAAACGTGGCTTCCACTTACTCTTGTATATTTTCTTTACCAGCTCTATGTGCGAGCAATGGCAGATTATTGGCCCTTGCAAGATCCTGCCATACCATGCGCTGATGCAGGTTTGCCTTTTAAGAAGGGTGAAATACTCCAGATTGTGGACCAGAATGATGCTCTCTGGTGGCAGGCCAGGAAAGTTTCAGATCTTGGTGCCTGTGCTGGACTTATACCCTCAAATCATCTTCTTAAAAGGTAAAGAACTCTTACTTTTTCTGATTTCCAGTTCGAAGGTTAGCCAGTTATTCAGACTTACCTATTTTAAAATTTTCTTAAGTTATATATCAGTATGATTCAGAGTGACATCTGACAAACATCTTTCCTCTTTCTGTTCCCTGACTTCTTGCTCTCCTTCCCTTAAGAGTACCTATGTGAGAACAAGCTTTTGAAATCACCTGTATGATCTTAAATTGATGTCTAAGAAGTTCACAGCAGTTGCCTGGTCTCTGTGCTAGTTGCCAAGACATCTAGTGGAGTGTAGCAGCTGAAGGGTGGAAATTAAAGGCCCTGATTGCTTAGGTCCATCACCTATGATTTAAAAAAAAAAAAAAAAAAAAAAAAAAGTGGGCAGGGAGGAAGAGGGGGGTACTAAACATATAGTATAAGGGCATAGCTGTATCAAGAAACAGTATTTATCATGGAATTATTTGGTTGGAAAAGGCCTTTAAGATCATCAAGTCCAACCATACCTGTCCACAACTAAACTATGTCTCTAAGCACCGCATCTACCCATACCTCCAGGATTGGTGACTCAGCTGCTTCCTTGGGCAGCCCATTCCAGTGCCTGATAACCCTTTCACTGAAGAAATTTTTCCTAATGTCTAATCTAAACCTCCGCTGGTGCAGCTTGGGGCTGTTTCCTCTCATCCTATCGCCTTTTACTTGAGAGGAGACACCAACACCCACCTCGCTACAGCCTCCTTTCAGGGTGTTGTAGAGAGCAATAAGGTTCCCCCTCAGCCTCCTCTTCTCCAGGTGAAACAACCCCACTTCCCTCAGCTGCTCCTCATCAGACTTGTGCTTCAGACCCTTCACCAGCTTTCTTGCTCTTTTCTGGACATGCTCCAGCGCCTCGATGTCCTTCTTGTAGTGAGGGGCCCAAAACTGAACCACAGTATTCAAGGTGTAGCCTCACCAGTGCCAAGTACAGTGGAAGGATAACTTCTCTGGTCCTGCTGGCCACACTATTTCTGATACAAGCCAGGATGCTGTTGGCCTTCTTGGCCACCTGGGCACGCTGCTGGCTTATATTCAGTCGGCTATCAACCAGAACCCACAGATCCCTCTCTACCGGGCAGCTTTCCAGCCACTCTTCCCCAAGCCTATAGTGTTGCATGGGGTTGTTATGACCAAAGTGCAGGACCTGGCACTTGGCCTTGTTGAACCTCATACAATTGGCCGCAGTCCATCTATCCAGCCTGTTCAGGTCCTTTCCTACCCTCAAGCAGATCAATACTTCTACTCAGCTTGCTGTCACCTGTTAACTTGCTGAGGGTATTTAAAGATGTCCTGTGAAGCACAAGTGACCTCTCCAACTTTGGTCAAAACTGAGTAGACCAGATTAAAAGAGAGGGAAAAACATGTTCAGGGAAGAACAAGGATCCTTTGCTTATTATTTTCTGCATAAATGGCCCATTATTTTTACACTACATGCTTTCAGAACTGGAGTAGTTAAACTGCTGTAGCAGCTTTTCAGTTTGATCCTCTAACCACATGTCCCGTCTGTGTTACCCTTAGGAAAACCTAAGGCCACGCAATTGTAGATGATAAGGTTCAATTTGTACTATATGTAAACCTAACTGTGGTCTGTATAATGAAAGTTGAAATCAAACGAGGTTGTGATTGAGGCTGCAAGGAAGAGGCTCTGTGTAGTAACAGGGGCAGTAGTACTACTACCCGTACAGTAGCACACTCTTCTACTCCCAGGAGTCTGTGCCCACAGTATGGCTTATCTTCTTGTCCTTTGCATATAAACACCAAATACTCTAAATACATCTGGGCAGCTGATTTGGAAATTGCCTTTAAATAGTTCTGATAGCATGTTGGCTTTCTTTCAGGACTTTGCAGTGGGCTAGAACATTACTAGTGTTTCCATTCTTGGAGTCTTCTGTCAGCTCAGTACTGATTGATCTTATGTCAGCAGCGAATCTGACTGGAGCATAATGTGCTTGTGGACTGTTTTGCTTCTTTAACTGTGACAAATCTATTTCTATGTAGGAAGCAGCGAGAATTCTGGTGGTCTCAGCCTTTCCAGCCCCATCTCTGTCTTAAATCATCAATGTGTGAGTGAAAAGTTATTTGAATGGTAAAGTAGGAAAGAAAAGTCTTGTTTCTATTTCCAGGGATACTGAAACAGAAGCTTGTACAATTCAGTTTAATGCAAAGACATTGTTACTGGAGCCATATTGTAATCTCAGAAGCGTGTTAACTGTCCCCAGGAAAATAAATACTTAATGGTAGTTGTACCTGGAGCAGTGATGGTGGAGGTGGTTGTTTCCAGTGTGCTTGGGTTCTGACTGAGAGAAGCTGTGAATTCAACTCCTTCTGAGGTCTGTAAGATCCAGGAGAGCCAATTCTCTCTATGAGAATTGGATGTAAGTCTGAGGTGACAATTGTACTAGCACGGCTTTCCAGGGACACAGGTAACAGTTCTGCACTGGAAGATGCCATGCGATATGTTTAGAATGTTTCTTTGTCATCAAAACTATTGACAGAACTCTCTTCCTTGAGGTGTAAGATGAGCTATGCTGCCCATGAGTTTACTCATGGTGACAGTCCTCTGCCAGCTATAACTTTCTGTGAACACCCCGTTATTCCCAGACAAAGAACATTCTTCCTGTTTTCTCCCTCCCTGTTTTCTTCTATGTTTCTTTGTACTGGTATCAAATTAATTTTTCTCTTGTGATAACTCCCAGATTGAGTGTGTTTCATTGCCTCACACTGATTGCTTTGTTTGTTTGAGCTGGAGCTCTCTTTCATCATAATTTTATTGCATTTTAACTGCTTCAATGGATATGCTGTGGGCAGTAAGCACTGTGGAAGAAGGTAGGAGATCATATCTGGACAACATTGCATTCTGGTACCTGGAATCAATATAGCACATGGTTTTACAGGCTTTTTAAAAAGTTAGAATCATAGAATCATAGAATGTTTAGGGTTGGAAGGGACCACTAGTGGTCATCTAGTCCAACCCCCCTGCAGTGAGCAGGGACACTGCTAACTAGATCAGGTTGCTCAGAGCCCCATCCAACCTGGCCTTGAATGTTCCCAGGGATGGGGCCTCCACTACCTCTCTGGGCAACCTGTTCCAGTGTTTTACCACCCTCATTGTAAAGAATTTCTTCCTTACCTCTAGCCTGAACCTACCCTGTTCTAGTTTAAAACCATTTCCCCTTGTCCTAACACAGCTGGCCCTACTAAAAAGACGTTCCCCATCTTTCCTATAGGCCCCCTTTAGGTACTGGAAGGCCGCAATCAGGTCTCCCCATAGCCTTCTTTTCTCCAGACTGAACAAGCCCAACTCTCTCAGCCTGTCCTCATAGGAGAGGTGCTCCAGCCCTCAGATCATTTTTGTAGCCCTCCTCTGGACCCGTTCCAACAGTTCCATGTCCTTCTTGTGCTGAGGGCTCCAGAGCTGGACGCAGTACTCCAGGTGAGGTCTCACCAGAGCTGAGTAGAGGGGCAGAATCACCTCCCCCGACCTGCCGGCCACGCTTCTCCTGATGCAGCCCAGAGTACGGTTGGCCAGAGTTGTCAGAAATGAGGCAGTTTGGTAAATACATGCAAAAGAAACCCAAGGTTTTGGCATTTTCTGTGCTTAGCATAATGGAAATCAAGTCTTTTTTTCACTTGAAATAGTAGAAGCTTACATTGCCTTGAAGTGGAAACTTCAGCTATGCATTATCTGGCAGGGAACTGACAGTTTGGATGGGTTGCTTTAGGAAAGAAAGACTATTTTCCTTTCTCTTTTTCCTCTCCCTCTTTCTCTCCCATCTTCAGCAGCTGACCTGAGCAGCTCTGAGAGAATATTTCTTTGAAGGCTACACATGGGCAGAATATGGTTGATGCATGCCCTGATAATTGCCCTGTAACTGGAAAATAGCTTCTACTTGGGCCCATCTGGAGGGGCACGCGAGAATAGAACACACACACAGAGTGCAGTATTGTGAGCCCATGAGACTGCCTGAGCCCATGAGATAGCATTTCAGGGATGTGAACTGATGAGGTCTGGGGATGGAGGGGAAGCTCAATCAGTCTTTTCTTCCCTGTAAAAATAATAAAAAAAATCAAGCAAACCAAGCACTGCCCTTGAGTGAAGCATATTGGAAAGAAACACACTTAGAAAAGCTACAGGAGAGAAAGGAGTGAGTGAAAAATTTTATTTTGTCATGGTAATACTGAATAGATATCTACAGGGTAAACAGAGCGACAGCCATAATAAGTCTCTTATTATTTCAAAAGGAGAATTCAAGTTAGACATATTTGCCTCTGCCCCAAGCCCTTCAGAGCATAGTTTAAGAGCCTTTTCCTCACTAAAGACAGGGAACATCAGTAAGTTGGAGTTAACTGTTAAAATCCTTAAAGATGTCTAAAGCTGATCTGAGCTTCAAATATTTCCTTTCTGATGTCTGAGTTCAGTCTTGTAAGATCTGCAAGGATTTTTCTTCCCTGGTATTTTTCTGATTCAGATTAATTTTTTTTCCCTTGTGTTGATCTGTAGAGGATGACATGCAGATTGATGAGAAGTGTGTGGAAACAGGTAACTGAATTCACTTGAGATTGTTCTATTTGCTTTGGGGTAGTACATAGCTAAAGCCTGGGTTTGTTTCCCTGATAAAAGCACTCATTCTCCTAGTGAACTTAATGGTAGAAAATTCTATTTTTCATACCCTGGAAACCTCATCCTATATTTGTGTATTAAAATGAGCTGTTTGCAGTTCTGGTGTACAGTACTTAGTGAAGTGTGCCAAAAAGAGGGACCACCCCAAAAATACCTGCCTGAACAAGATCCAGCCTCTTTGATTCAGGTTTTGGACTGTGGCTGTAACGTTACCATAGTTTTTGCCTATTGTAGATTTAATGTCACAGATGATCGTAGTCTCGGAGAACCCACACAGTTCATTGTCAAGAAACTGATCTCAGGAGAATACCTTCTTAGGCACGGAGCAAGAATAGGTTTTTACATGTAAATAGTACATGTGAAGACTGTTAGCTGGACTTGCTCCCCAAAGCAGCACAATTCATTCTTCCTTCTCCCAAGGTAATTCAGAAAGCTCTCATGGAGGAATGTGGTCCTAGAGGACTGGGTGGAGAGAGACCAGTTAGTTCAAGCATGGCAAGCTGTATTTTGCCACCTTGATGTAGAGGGAAGTGGGGAAAGTACGTGTGAGACAGACTGAGATTTCTGATTCTGAAACTCTGTAGGAGGAAAATAAATTTTTAATTTATTATCTTTTTGCTATCTGGATTACTAAACAAGATGAAGAAACATTTGAGTCTGGTAAGTACCTCTGACCTAACTCCAAATTCCTTGCTATTGTTCTGCTGCGAGAAGGGTGTCCAGAGAGAAGCAAGTGTCTTAAAAACAAGCAGGTGGCAAAAACCAGAATGCCATTTTAGTTTTAGAAGCTATTCTGGCTTCAAAAGCCATTAGGTAAAATCCTGCTGCCTGAAGTCTTCCTCTTGCTCTCTGCTTATCTTAGTAGTAAGGTTTTTGTCCTGTTATCCCACAAGTGTGAGTGTTTCTTCTCGTGCATGAGTACCAGACCTGTTTATCAAATCCTAATCAGTTATACCCATGCAAGCTGTGACAGCAGGGGCTGCACTGATGTCAGCAGATAATTGGATTACCTTAAGGTAACAGAGGCCTGAATCCCCAGTGCCTGTAGGAGTTGATGTGGTAAAAAGGAGAGCTGTTGTGGATTCCTGCCTGTGTGTGTGGCTGGCATGCAAGAAAAAAAAATGCTCTTATAAAATGAATGATTTATGTGTAAGATATACAATCAATCAGTGCTTTTTTTTTTTTCAAACAAGCTGTTTTGGGGGTTCTTTTTTGGGGGGTGCCAGGAGGGGAACAGCTACCTATTTACAGCATATTCAGAGTTCTGCAAAACTTAAGCCTTCTAAAATAAATCATGTTTCCACTAAAATAAATCTACTACTGCTAAACTTCTTGTTTGAGATCTTTGGTAATCTTGTGGAGAAAAATGTCATTCCACCTCACCCTTGCTCTTCTCCACAAGGTTCCTGTGTGCCAGTTGGATCTTCTCATCTTATCACAGGTGGTTTGTTTTCTTCCACCTCTCAAGCAATGCCCAAAGCTTTTAAGACAGAACCAGGTCTACAGGGCAGCCTTTTGTTTTCAGGCTAGGATGTTTCTGATAACTGCACTTGGGGATTACTCTTGCAAATCTTATTCACTACTCAGCGCTGAGTCAGCTCTCTGCTGTATCCAGACAGTCGGAGGAATAAAGGTGCAAATATTTGCTATCCTACATTTTGTTTTAAATTAACCTGTAGTTGAACATCTGTGTGATATATTTTGCAAGTACAATACTGACATAGATGCTGTAGCTGAGTGTCTCATTCTTTGGGAACTGAGAATTCATGCTTGAACAGGCATATTTTAGATTTAAAGCCTGCAGTACCTGTTTCCTAAATTTCCTAAATGCATTGGACAATGCTGGTTGGATTTTTTTTTTTTAATCTTAGTATAGACTGTCTTCTCAAAACTAATTGTTTTATGTCTGTGTCTATTTGAATGTGCAGAGGAGCTTAAAGAAGGTAACACTAACTTTTTTCTCCCTGTATCCTATAAGCAGTAATCTATTAGAATTTATCTGTGTTTATTGCATTACCAGGAACTACTACTCCTGTTACAATACCCGGTAGCTGAATTGCTTGTTCCCTGTAGGATTCCATACTGTACTCCATACCACAGAACAGGGGTAGATAAAGCAGAAATGCTCAAAAAGATTTGAATGACAGCTCAAAAGACCTGAAGATAGAAATGACAGAGGCATATGTCAGCTGAACAGTACTCTGAACTTTGCCCTGAATGAGCAGTTTTGTGCCAAGTAGATTTTTCTACAGTCATAAACAAGGAGTCATTAGTACATATGGAAACATGGGAATGAAACTGTATTTTAAAGCTACAAGTAGTGAAAAGTGTATAGATGTGAAAGAAGAGTAACTAAGATGCATCTAATTTTGTTTTGATGCTTGTGAGCTTATGAAATAACTGTCAATCAAAGAATCTGGTGCCAAAAGATGATACAGTTCATGCTGTGCAAATGAAGATAACATTCTTCTCTTGGAACAATTACTACCTTTAAAGGTATATCTATGTCTTCTGTGTCTCATTCTTGCTTTAGCAAGGCCTAAATAAAGGGAATACACAGTTTGGATAATTGCATGCATGATTAGGGGAAAATTAAGAGTTGTTTTTGAAGAGAACTCTAAACACTGTTGACACCATTTTTTTCCTTAGTTGTTTTCAAATCACCTTTATAAAATAGTTTTAAAACTGTTAGAGCATTAATCTATTGGGAAATTGATATTTTTGAGCCTTACAGGAGAGATTTAATTTTAAAAAAATACATACAGAGATTTAGAAGGCTCACCTGAATGGTTAAGCCTTCACAGGGAACCGCATGAAAATGGGGACAAAAAGAATTGGAAGAAACAGATTAGTTGGGATGTTGGAGTGCTGATATCACTGATCCAAAGATGATTAATAAGAAATAATAAAAATAATAAAATCAGGTCTTCATTTTGCCTGAAAGATCTGAGCAGATGCATGTTGCATTTTCCAAGCATGCTGTTGGGCTGAAAGAGTTATAAATTTTTTATTTCTGATTTGGAGCTACTGACTTGTTGGTTTTTGTAATATTATAACTAAAGAATTCTTGTAAACTAGATTTCACCTGAAAAGCTTAAATTATGTGGAGGTTTTTTGACTATAAGTATTTCAAAACCTTGCCTGGCATCTAGTTATCTTAGGAATGAAACAAAAAATTAATGGGTTTCAAATGTAATTCAGAAAATACCAAGACTTTCTAAGTTTAATTTTCTCTTACAGAAATATTGGTCCTTTGAATTGGTCATTGATCATGTGAAATTGAATATTTCATATTACGGAGTATTGTGCTTTTTTTATTAGATTAGTTATGGTATTTCCATGTGTTTACTGAAATGCGGTTGTTCATTTGGAATCAGCAATAATTGCTAGTGGTCTAGCTCTTAAGCTTTCACTGTTCTTTTTTTATTTCATGAGTATTTGTTCTTTCTATTCCAGAAGAGGAAGAATTTGGTGAATTTGGTCAACGAGTTTTTATTGGTACGTAGTGACTAAAGATAAGTAAGATGTTTGTGGCTTGATCTAGATTGCTTGTCTGAAGTTAAATAAAATGCCTTGTTCTTTTATTTCACCTAAAGAATTACTGAATTGAATTCTACTTGCTCTGTTTTCCAAGCTTCAAGAAGTTGCTTTCCTCCTCCTAATACTTGTCCTCTCTATTTACATCTCTCTTCCTGTAAGGTTTCTACTAAGACCTGGCCATCACTATTTTAATCGGACTGGCTATTAAGATTTGCCTTACTTCACAACTAATTTTGCTAGGGCATAATGTTCTGTTGTCTGTCATCCATTGAGAATAATCATGAGGGCTTTCAGTAGCAAAGTAAACCTAAAAGTGAGGGTTTCGGGCTTGGATGATAAGGTGGAGCAACAAACCTATCCATAGCGAGCTTTAAAATATTTGAATTCATGCTGGAGGCTGAAGCAAATGTTGCAGATTTGCTTTACGAGAGTGAAGCAGCTACACTATCAAAAAACAGTTGACCTGTTCCCTAGTGATGCTTTATGTGGCCTGAAACTTCTCCTTCGGCTTGTTTTGGGGATCTTTTGGGGGTCTTTAATTCAGGGCTAATTTTCAGGTGACTTTCAGTGAGATTTGACCTCTTTTTTTAGCTGTCTTTTAATGCTCAGAGGTTCTACCAAGCTGACATACCAAGTGCAGCAATGAAATTCACTTTCACCCTGCAAAAAGCTCAAAAAAAGTGTATGTCGTGTGGCTTAGAAAGCGACACACTAGCCTAAAGCACTGGTTGCCTCTCAGGTGTATTTTCCAGTACTGATGTTTTTGCCCCTTACAGCTGGTTTCCGTAGAAGTATGCGCCTGTGTCGCAGGAAATCCCGGACCAACCAGCAGCCCTGTTACGCTTGGTGCCCCAGCAGCTGTTACAGCACTCTTGCAGCTCCATATGAAGAGGTGGTTAGGTACCAGCGGCACCCAGCAGACCGGAACAGACTGATTATACTAGTGGGTAAGAGGTTAATTACTTTCTCATGCAAATTTCACAACCTGTAACAGTCAGTCATGGGCTGATCCACTGAGGTTTCCTGCTGCTGATTGCAGTGGCTGCAGACTTTGCAGGTAGCTCTCAAAGCAATATTGCAAGACTGATTGTCTGTAATTGGACCCCGTTATTGGTTTTGAAATTTAATGTATGTATTGTCATATTTGCTTGAGCTAGTGAATGTGTTTAAAAAAAAAAAAAAATCCTCAGAAGAAGCTATACAGTTATGAATGCTGGTTGATATGGATTTTATTAGGGAAATGGTTCAGTTTTATAGTCAGTTGGGACCGCTAAATAAAGCAATGAGAAAACACTCGTAACTTACTAGAAAGTATCTTTACATGGAGGCATTTCTACAGCTAGTGTTATATTCTTGGATATGGCCATGGTAAGAAGAATGTTTAAAATTAAGCTGCAGGCTAAAAAAATCTGAGCAGGTGGGACAGCCAAAAAAAGATGCCTTTAGTAATGCTCGCTATAGGAAATACAGCATTAAGCGGGCTACGGGCTCTCAAGAAATCTTTAGTGATAGTGACTGAAAGGAAGCTGTTGTTCTGCAGTGTTCTATAATCCTGAAAAGCAAACTGGGTAAAGGCAAATCCGTTGTCCTTTCTATGTCTGGAAGTATTTGATAATTTCTTTCTTTTAAAATGGGTTGCCTCCTGAGTATGACTGTATTGATGGGAGGTGATTTGTACCCTGAATCAATCAATATGCTTCAGTCACTTCTGGTACATTTTGGGGGAAGTTAGTTATATTTCATTTGTGTACATGCATTGTATTAGAAAATCGGGGGTATGCATGCAAAAAGTGCCTCTGTCAGTAATAGCAGTTGCTTTTCCACCTTTTCAGGTCCTGCAGGAGTGGGTGTGAATGAGCTAAGGCGAAGGCTTATCGCAAGTAACCCACGAGAGTTTCGAAGTGCCGTACCTCGTATGTAATGTTCTTCCTCTTTCCCCCACTACCCCCTTCCAATGGGATTAGGAAACGTAAAGTAGCTCCCTCTTGCATTTGTATATTCAAACACTCGTTGCCGTATGGCTGTTTTTTCAGCTCTACTGAAAGCCAGAGCCATTTGCTTTTATAAGGGTTCATTTAAAATACTATCTCTTTCCTTATTTTGGCAAATCAGCCAAAGGTATTTGCAAGTTACAGCTCCTGAAACCCTTAAACCTTTATGTAGCAGTAGATTGTCTGTGTGATTTTGTTAATCTTGATGTTTGCTTTTCCTAGATTTAAAAATAAGAATGTTTCTTAGGGATATTGTAAGTTCTTAGTGTTTAAGTGATCAGATATGAGAATGAAGGCAACAGAAGTTGGTGCTTAATAGGCTTTGCAGCTTTCCTTATTAGCCTTCTAGTCTCAGATGAGACTTACACAGCTTAATTTCTGATGTAATAATTGAAATTGTTTCTATCTGTGGTTATTTGATTCTTGTGACTTGGATAACCAAACAGGAAATATATGAATCTGAAGCTGGTTGAAAATTCAGGAATTCTTTTGTGCTTAAGATCCCAGATATGGGGAAGGTACAAGTGTGGGAAGGCTTGTAGCATGTTTCTGAATGAACTTCAATAAATTTTACCTCAGAGGAGTAAAAAGAGTTGTGTAACCAGTTCCAAAGCAGTTCCTGATTGGTTTGAGTCACAGATATTTGGATTAAATCACTCTCCTTCCATTCTGAGAAATACAGATGTGCTTTGCTAATTTTCAAGGATTTGCCACTGGGCAACTAGTACAGTAGACAAAACTTTTGCTGTAGATTAACATGGAAGCAACTCATTTTATTCCTTATGAAAATACTGATTTATAGTCCTTCATGAAAGTTGTCTCATGTTCATTTATAAAATTACAAGAATTTACTTGCAGTTGATTTGTGGGTGTGTGTATATCTCCTTTCAGACACAACTCGTGTTCAGAAGAGTTATGAAATGAATGGTCGTGAATATCACTACGTATCAAAGGAAACTTTTGAAAATATGGTGTATAGCCACAGGTAACTAGGAGAGACAAATTACATTTTTGTTACTTAAAATGTAACATGATCCAAGAAACGACAGTTTTGTCGTTAGGTCCCAAGCCTGGGCTCCTCTGCTTATACTTACTATGCATGTTTGGTGTAAATTTTGGTCAATTGACTTGAGGTTCAAAAACTCTGTGCAGTTGCAAATAAGCTCCCCTATAATTAATCTCAGAATCCTTCTAAAGGAAAGAGGGATCTCCAGGCCTGAGCTCATTTGAGGCGCAGGAGCAGGCCGTCCCCAGGTGCCAAAAGGTGAGCTGGCAGGGAAGATGACTGGCCTTGCTGAACAGAGCTTTGGCTGGAGCTCAGGAATAAAAGGAGAGTTTATGACCTTTGGAAGAAGGGTCAGACAACTCAGAAAGTCTACAAGGATGTTGTGAGATTATGCAGGGAGAAAATTAGAAGGGCCAAAGCTCTTGAACTTAATCTGGCTACAGCTGTAAAAGACAATAAAAAATGCTTCTATAAATATATTAGCAACAAAAAGAGGGCTAAGGAGAACCTCCATCCTTTATTGGATGCAGGGGGAAACATAGTGACAAAGGGCAAGGAAAAGGCTGAGGTACTTAATGCCTTCTTTGCCTCAGTCTTTAATGGTAAGACCAGTTGTTCTTGGAGTACCCAGCTCCCTGAGTGGGGAGCAGAATGAATCCCCCATAATCAAGGGGAAATGTAAGCAACCTGCTGCTACACCACTTAGACACACACAAGTATAGGGGGCCAGATGGGGTCCACCCAAGGGCACTGAGGGAACTGGCAGAGGTGCTCACCAAGCCATTCTCCATCATTTATCAGCAGCCCTGGCTAACTGGGGAGGTCCCAGACAACTGGAGGTTGGCAAATGTGATGCCAATCTACAAGAAAGCCTGGAAGGAGGATCTGGGGAACTACAGGCCTGTCAGCCTGACCTCAGTGCCAGGGAAAGTTATGGACCAGATCATCTCAAGTGCCATCACGCAGCATGTTTGGGAAGAGTGGCTGGAAAGCTGCCTGGCAGAGAGGGTTCTGGGGGTGCTGTTTGACAACCGGCTGAATATGAGCCAGCAGCGTGCCCAGGTGGCCAAGAAGCATCCTGGCTTGTATCAGGAATAGTGTGGTCAGCAGGAGTAGGGAAGTGATCGTGCCCCGGTACTTGGCACCTCAAATACTGTGTTCAGTTTTGGGCCCCTCACTACAAGAAGGACATTGAGGCACTGGAGCGCATCCAGAGAAGGGCAACGAAGCTGGTGAGGGGTCTGGAGCACAAGTCTGATGAGGAGTGGCTGAGGGAAGTGGGGTTGTTTAGTCTGGAGGAGGCTGAGAGGATACCTTATTGCTCTCTATAACACCCTGAAAGGAAGTTGTAGCGAGGTGGGTGTTGGTCTCTTCTCCCAGGTAACGAGCAATAGGACAAGGAAATGGCCTCAAGTTGCACCAGGAGAGGTTTGGATTGGATGTTAGGAAAAATTTCTTCACTGAAAGGGTTTTCAAGCATTGGAACAGGCTGCCCAGGGAAGTGGTTGAGTCCCAATCCCTAGAGGTATTTAAAAGATGTGTAAATGTAGTGCTTAGGGACATAGTTTTGTGGTGGGCCTGGCAACGTTAGGTTAACGGTTGGACTTGATGCTCTTAAAGGTCTTTTCGAACTTAAAGAATTCTCTGATGTTCTTGTAAGTTACGAGTTTAACCTTTCTGGAAACTAGACTGCTTCCTAAAATTGAGCAATGAATCAGACCTGTTCCTATCTACATCTTCATTGCAAAACCTCTGCAGTGATGACACCTCCAGCACCTGAACTCTAAGGGCCAAACTTTCAAAAGTGTCTGCTCCTTTCTATGTCTCAATAATCCCTCTGCTAAGACAGAACAGCTCAGCACCTTGAGCTGTGCCAAGTGCTTTGAGATCTTCTGATTTATGTAGTTATCAGTACTATTGAAATCACAAGCATTTTATCATTAGAATCACAACCTCTAAACACATGATTTGTAACAACAAGATGAGTTGCATGCTTTGGAGATGTTGAACTGTAATGGTTCTGATTTTGTGCCCAGTGTAGCAGGGAAGAGCAAAGGTGGAGGTTGTTCATCAGTGTTCACTATGGTTTATGATCATTCAGTCTTCATGACTGCATTACACTTGAAGAATATCACCCTTAAATGGAACCTTCTGAGACTCACGTGATCTTTCATTTTCCTTCTTCCTCTCCGCTGCTGCAGAATGCTGGAATACGGGGAATACAAAGGGTACCTGTATGGTACCAGTATTGATGCAGTGCGGACAGTCCTCGATGAAGGAAAGATCTGCGTAATAGATTTAGAACCACAGGTGAGTTGTAAAGGGGCACGGACTCTACAGTTTGTATCTCTTGGAAGGAAAAATAATCATCTGTACATTCTTGAGCTATGAGAATGGTGTTAGTTGCTTTGTCTTGTTTTTTGCTTTAGCTCATGGTGCTTGTTAATAATATTCTTTGGATGGGTCTTGTGGGAGGAATACTACAGTGCCAAGCGCATACAGATCAGTATCATTCATTTGTTTCCAAGTCAGCAGCTGCATTAGCAGGTGGAATGGTGCAGAAATGAGTTTTCATACTTGCTTAAAGCAAGGATGATTCTCTCATGTGGAGACTGTTGCATGGGATTTCTTCCCCCTCCAAGCCCTGTTAGTTGAGAGTTCTGTCCTTCTGTTAGCAGTCTCTGAACACCCTTTGGTGAAAGCAGCAACTTATTAAAGTAATCAAGCAAAAACAGGTAACTATATCATGCGTTTATTTTTCTTCAGGAGTAACTTAACAGCTGGGAGCAAGCTGGTGGCACACAGGACCAAACAGCTTTGCAGCAACCCCCAGCCAGTGCTTGCTGTGTAGACCACCACTCATCTAGGGACCGCAGTTTGCAAACATTTACTGTATGAGAAAGGGCATCTTGCACAGCTTCCACGTATGCCCCAGCAGATATTGGCAGGAGGTGCTTCAAATGTTAGGGCAATTACCAGATGTTTCTCTGCTGGGCATTGCAAAAAAGCTTCAAATGCAGTCTTTGCATTCTTCTATATTTCTTTTCTTAATTACTTTTATTACCTTTAACACTTCCAGAACTACTTACCATGCTAATCTTTTCACTTAGACACTATTCACTTTTTTCCTTCTATCTTTGCATTGAATTTGCTGATGAAGATAAGGCTAATAAAGGCCTGAGTTTCTAAATATCTAAGAGACATAAAGCTGTGTCCAGCAAAATCCTAGTATTACTCTGAATTACTTGCATATTTAGTACTTAGGAGCTGTTTAGGCTACTGGGTTTCAGCATCTCTTCTAAGTGAATGTAAAGAGCAACACCATAACTCAGTTAACTTTTAGACACCTCCCTCTAGTTATGCAGAGCCAGTGTAGTCAAAGCCTTAGGTTAGCACAAGTTTGTGCCGTTTGAGATAAAAGTGAAAGTTACATGATCTGTGGGGTACTACTCAAAATCCAAACTGCTACAAGGGGCAGATTAGGCCACGCTTTAGTCTTCATTTCACACCTAAAAATGTCTGTGGGTTTCTTCTGCTACACTTCTAAATAAGGGGTGGGGGTGGGAAATGTAATCTTGCTACTTGAACAGATGTGCCACTATCAGTTTTTAGGGGGTGAGTTTAAAGGACAAGTTTTGGGAAAGGTATGAAGTAATAGCACGTAGCTGTTCTTCAGTAACTGCTGTGAGGTAGGAGAATTATTGCCAAGTTGCATACTTGTATTTTAAATCTGGTGGCTTGGCCAACTTTACACGCTGTGCTTTTTTTTTTCTTTTTTCTAGTTCCCTCCACTGCTTTGCAGTAGTTTAAAATTTATTATCATCAGGGAATGTTACACAGCAGAAAGATTTCCGAAAGCACGATACTTTCTTCTAGTATAGAACAATAAAGGTATACTTTTTCCAAAGTTAGCTCCCCAGCAGTTAAAAAAAAAAAAAAGAAAAAGATTTCAGAACCATCTTTAATGTTATTGATTGTAGAGATCTGTTGATGACAATGTCCCATCCCTCACTGGAGCTGAAAGCATCTTCTAATAAGGTTGCCAAGCGGAATTAAGTGATTGGTGTGCTACAGTTGCTTAACAATGTCTGGTCCAGGGATTATTAGCGAGGTCATTTTAAAATAGACATTCCTGAAAAAGATTACTGCTAGGTCTGGAGATAACAGCACGTTGTAACAGTTTGGGGTTAGTTTTTTATGGTAGTAAAACTGGGATGAATACACCTGAAATACTTTAACTTCTTTTTACTCTTAATTTGCAGGGCATACAAGTAGCCCGGACTCATGAATTAAAGCCCTACATTATATTCATCAAGCCATCCAGCATAAGCTGCATGAGGCAGACTCGTAAAAATGCCAGGATCATTACAGATTACTACGTAAACATGAAATTCAAGGTGAGGTTTGGGCAATGAAAAGACTCAGCTTATTATTCTGGAATTCTGTGTTTAGAACATAATGTGTCATACTATGTTACGTCTTTAAAAGATTATTATGTCTTTAGGATCAAATCTAAGTTACTCTTGTCTCTTTCTGTTTGGTTTGTTGGGATTTTTATTTCCCCTCCACATTTGCTTTGAAGGAGAAGGCTTGTAATTTGTACGTAGGGGTTGGAGGCATTTTGCTTCAAAATGTCTTTAAAGGAAAAGCTATTTTGTACATCTTTGTTTTTATTAACTGCCTTGTGACAAGATCTGAGTTAACACATACATTTACTGTTTGCACTGAAATACCTGGAATGTGGTTCATTCAGTAATTTAATCAATTTTTTATCTAGTTATAAGGATGTATTGTTAGTTCATGTATGCTTAATGACAGTATCAGTATCAATTCTGTACCAAGTTCTACAGAAAAAACACAAATCCTGCTTGTAGGAAATGCGTATCTTGTATTTACAACACATCTAGAGCATTGTCACTATAGTTTCCATGCAAATCATAATTAAATTTAGCATCTTAAAATTTCGGAGACCTCAGGTCATAACTGTATATGGAAATGAACCATGATCACTATGGCAGAAAGAAACGTGAACACTGGGGGGGAATAAACTAACATGTGGAACAAGGGCACAAGTGTTAGCGGATTTGCTATCCAGTCCCTAGCATCCCGTGCCAGCACTCATCAGTAGAATAACCTTTTGGGGGTAAATGGTGCATACTGAGAGACAAGGTATTTCCTTGGGCAGGACATGGCAGTTGGCTCTGTTTCAGAGACTTGGAACTGACTGTAGCAGACATACTTTACTATAGCAAATGGTAAATGACATGAAGCACACTGGTACTATCTGTTCACCTCTTGATTACACAGCCCGAGGTGTTCTGCAGGTGCTGGGCAGGTATGTTTCTCTTTACAAGACTAAAGCTTTATAGACCTACTCTGTGCCTTGCAGGAAGAAGATTTACAGGAGATGGAAGATTCGGCTAAGAAAATGGAAGCTCAGTTTGGTCAGTTCTTTGATCAAGTGATTGTAAATGACAATTTACAAGAAGCATCTGCACAGCTGCTGTCTGCAGTCCATCGTGCACAGGATGAGCCCCAGTGGGTCCCTGCAATATGGATATGCTCAGACACTCAGCCCTAATTCTGAGCAGCAGGCAGCTTCAGAAAGATTACAGCTTATGTTTTACTTCAAGAATAATCCTAATGTCAGGATTGCAAGAATTTATCTTTGTATGTGAGGGATTTGGAAGAGGATTAAGAAAGAAGCTGCTACAGGAGATATAATCATACTATGTTCTGTGTAGATCTTCAGCTTTTTATGTTACAGTTGCATCCACTTTTGTACAAAAAAGAAATACTGTGAGCTCTCAATTACAAGAATAAAGAAAAATCTATTTTGTTGCATGTATCTGCATAATTTACCCATACATAGTTAAAGAAAATTCCTTTCCTCTCTTTTTATTATGGTCATTCTGATACTGTGATACCTGTACATTCTGGAAGCCTTACTGACAAAGGATACTCAGTCAATGTTCAGTCCAGAGCATTCTGTCTTTGAGCAGCATGTTATTCATGAAGGTATTGGTTTGCTGCTTATTCTTTTTACCTTTTAAGACAGGACCAGAGTGGTAGTGTCACAATAAAAATTACTCTAGAAACCAGAGTTATCTTCACAATGCATGTAGCATGTCTTATCTTTTGTTCCATCAACTCAAGTGAGTATAAACTGACATAACATGGATTTATCAAAAAGAGAGATAAGGTCTGAAGCCCTCTTTCCTATCGCTTTGCACTCTCCTCATCAAATGGCGCGGTGCTTGTGACAAACGTCCCTCATTCTCTTCACTTTGCATTACAGCCCTCTTGCCCCCTGAGAAATAGCGCTGATTATTCTGTTGGCCTACCTCACCTTGGAGGAAACTCAACAAAAGCAATTTGAATGGTCTAGAAGGAGATTGTTCATAGCCAACTAATTGCAGCTACCACCCTGCTGGCTTTTTTAGTCAGGCCTACTGTTCCTTGTTTAGAGGTGAAATGGGAGAGACAGAGAGTCCTGATGTGTCACTGGTGTGAGGTATGTACAGTTCTGTGCTGGTGGTCCATGAGCAGCTCACCTAGCTGCTACCTCGTCTGGCCTTTGTCCTCAATTTCTCCTTACCTGTTTTTCATGTGTTTGGTATGAGAGAAGAAAGATCTTCTCATTAGACTTGTGTTTGCTTCTTGTGGCCATTTGTGCTGGAATGAAATTTTATCACGCTGATTTGCTACTTTTTTTTTCCTTTTCATGTACTGTGTATAACTTAATTTTGCACATTTGATTTTGCTTGACCGCAGCCCGAGGGCTAA